CACTCTTTCACATGCTTTTCATAAATTCTCTATTTATTCGGTATTTTACTACTTAGTTGTCATCTTCAGCTACAAGAATGGAAATCCAACTATCATTATTTATGGGATTAGGATCTTCATCTTCTTTTTTGTATTTTTTTTTCCTTCGTACACACAAATGGAATAACTCAATCAATATAATTTAAAAAATTTATTCAATTTGATGCAAAATTTGCGATGTCTAGATACTCATAATATGATGTTTTTCATTAAATCCATCTGATGGTCACAAGGAGAGAAAAGGAATTTTTTTCGCCTAATGCCAATAAGAAGCACGAAAAGATGTGTTCTCGAATCAAAATTTACAATTATACCCCCAACATAATTTTAGAGCACGAATACATTAAAACAAATACTAAATAACATGCACTTACATAATATTGTACTAAAGGGACTAAAATACTTTGTACTTCTAATATTAAAATTTAGGAATAATTATTTAAAGAAAATATAAAAAGATTTACATTCAAGAGATATAATGGTTATATAATGGTTAATTAAAAAACAAAGACTAAGAAGGTGGTTAACAAAATATATCTCTTTTATAATATGTATAAATAATTTTGCTATCAAAAATGGGTGAAAAACATATATACAATGACAATATTAGAAGCTACTAGAAAATGATGTCTAAACTCTTAAATGTTTTGAACTAGGCGTCATCCCAATTTTGGAAGAAAAAATTAGAAAGGATAATATATTTTAATTAAAAATAAAATACGTCAACATTTTAAATTAAAGAACACATTTGGAAACACTTTGAAAATGAGAATGACAAAATTGAATTTTGTATTTTAATATTGCATTATTTTGTGTTTTTATGTATTTTAAATCTTATTATTAATTTTAATCTGCATCGTTTTTATGTATATTAATTTTAAAGTATTTTTTATTTAATTAAAATTTATTATTTAATATTTGACATATAAATATATATTAAATTGAAATTAAGGTGAATAATAAATATAAAATAATTAGATATATTGTGGAGTTCATTTGAAATACTTTAATGGATTTCTTGATTAAAGAAAAAGGTTAATTAAGTTTCTTAAAATAATGATGATAATATATCATTATAAAAATATTATTGAAAATATAATATAATTTTTGAATTAGAGTTTGACTGACTTAAAATATTTTCGGTAGGTTTAGTTATAAGCAATCTTATTGAAAATGCTCTTAAAAGATCGTGTATTCTGATTTGAGAAAGTTAAAAGACATGTAACCCAAAATAAGCTTTGAAACGGTCATCAGAATGATGTCACTGTGAATGAGAAAGGAGTATTTTCTAACTTTAAAATACTGATTTTTTTTTTATTTCTTTTTATAAAAAAAAGTGTCTTTTTCAACGATACATGCCAGAATAGTCCGATGCCTTCATAAGTTCTCTGGTAATTTACTGCTCGATCGTATGATATTTTTTTTTAGATTGTTTTTTAATAATTATATATTAACTAGTATTTTAACATTACATGATAAATGTTTATTTTATGAGTAAATTTATAATAAATAAATATTTTTAAAAAATAATTAAAATTTATTATAAATAAATATTTTCTAACATATAAGTTATATTTTATATTTATAAAAAAATATTTATATTTGATATAAAAATATTTTAAATTATTTATCATTTAAAACTATATTAAAATTTAATTTAAATATTAAACAATAAATTGAAAGAGACAAGAGACTGAGAAAAAATCCTGAAAGTGTTGAAGAAATTTTTTTAAAAATAATATTGTTAATAAAATATCCTAAAAAAATTCTTTAATTATAGTTGATATACAGAGAGGATAATTATTATTTTTGTTTTATACCATAATATTACATTGATATTTATTATTATTTATTTTAAAATACGTACCTTACTTTTAGTTTATATATTTATTTACTTTTACAATATGATTATATATTATACTAATAAATTGAGTTGACATTATGTTTATATATAATTCGATCCAAAATCGAATAAATAATCATGAAAACCCTTAACGTTAAGAAAGGGAGCGTGCGGGCTTAAAATACAGTATCTGCCAAGTTTGACTAACTTGTATATTTCACACATGGACACAAAATCTCTCATCATTCATTATGTACACAACCGCTGTCATTTAATCAAGACCAATCCATTGACATTTGATTATATTGATATGTATGGTCGTGGCACTACAATTTCATTATTTGACAAATCAAAGTCCACCCCACCAAACCGTCTAGAAAGGATTCAAATTTCATGTTGAAAAGTTCAAACTTAAATTTCAACCATAGATATTTCTTCACACAAGCGATGCAAAGTGCAATATAAATATACACATCCCCTAACTCTCAATTGCTCATCAATCAAATAGATAGCTATAGAACTTTATTTGACTTCCATTTTTTCAAAAATGGGATACAAATTACTATGCGTTCTTGTAGCAGTGACCTTTGTTATGATAACAAAGGTGCCAAAAAATGTGAGTGCTCAAAATTGTGGGTGTGCTGAAGGGTTATGTTGCAGTCAATATGGGTATTGTGGCACCGGTGACGCATATTGTGGCACAGGATGCCAACAGGGTCCTTGTTATAACCCTCCAAGTTCCTCTAACAATGTTAATGTGGCTGACATTGTCACACCACAATTCTTCAATGGCATAATTGATCAGGCTGACTCTGGTTGTGCTGGCAAGAACTTTTACTCACGAGATGCTTTCATTAATGCTCTCAGTTCCTATGACCAGTTTGGTAGAATTGGTTCTGAGGATGACTCCAAACGCGAGATTGCAGCTGCTTTTGCCCATTTCACTCATGAAACTGGACGTAAGCATTACCATAACCTTTCTTCTCATATAAACTTTAGTTCATTCTTGATTGAATTAAGATTTGCACAAAGAAAGTGAAAAACAATTTTATATTGTTGAGAGTGTGATATTTATGTTTTTTTTTTTTGTCTGTACTTTTTTTCTGGTCATGTTTCTAACACAAATAGAGTTTGTAACATGGGGTGCAGATTTTTGTTACATTGAAGAGATTGATGGTGCATCAAAGGACTATTGTGATGAAGACAATACACAATATCCATGTGTTCCTAACAAAGGCTACTATGGGCGTGGTCCGATCCAACTATCTTGGAACTTCAACTATGGACCAGCAGGACAAAGCAATGGATTTGATGGATTGAACTCTCCTGAAACAGTGGCGAATGATCCTGTGGTGTCTTTCAAGACAGCATTATGGTACTGGATGCAACATGTGCGCCCTGTCATTAACCAAGGTTTTGGTGCAACCATAAGAGCCATTAATGGTCAACTTGAATGTGATGGTGCCAACCCCACCACGGTTCAGGCTCGTGTTAATTACTACACTGAGTATTGTAGACAATTGGGTGTTGCTACTGGTGATAATCTTACTTGCTGAGTTTGCTAGCCACGCTACACATATATTTGATTATGCGGCATAGTATAGTATGAATAGTTGATGTCAATATATCATCTTGCACAAGTCATTTTTTTTGTATTCCACTATTAACACCATACTTGTGGTCAATAAAGAATTGGAGGCTTGTTGCCTTGCTTAATTTGATTGTTGTGATTATTATTCTTATGAAATACTTTTGTGTTCAATTCAATTTTGATTACTATCTGTTAATTTTTAAATATTTTTATTTATATATAGAAAGAGAATATTTCGTAATAATCGAAATAATAATAATAATAATAAAAAAGGCAGTAATAGAATTAAGCAGATAATCCAAGAAAAATAGAGAGGGCCACACCGAGGGAATAGGCTCCGACGAAGGTCCCAACGAAGTGCGGAGGAGGCCGAGCGAGGGCGCCGATTCCGACGATCCCGGCGACGCCCAGGGGAAGCCGCAGCAGAAGCGCTTTGGTGGCAGCGGAGAGAACAGCCTCAGTGTATAGTTGGTTAGCCCACTGCTTAAATAGGGCAAGTGAAAGGCCCTTAATCTTATCGGGATTAGGGTTTGAAGAGAGGGAGCGTAGAGCGGCGTCCACTTGGCTTCGATCGGGCGCCGTGGGGACCCACCTCCTGATCAGAGGGTGCGTCGTGCTCACGTGGATGTGATCGGAAGCGCTTTTCAGTTGGTATGGCAACACTCCTTCGAAAGCGTGCTGCGTGAGGGAGAGGCAGTGGGAGAAGGCCGAGTCGCATGCTGAGTCGAAATCGCCCGAGTCTGATAGACTCTTCTCCACTCTCTTCGACGCTGATAGTGATAACCCCATCTCTATTCTCTACTCTACAACTAGAATCATCTCATTCTAATTTTCTCTCTCTCCTTTATCTTTATATAAACGAATATTCCTTTTACATTATGATACTAAGAGTAACTCATTCCGCGCCGCTATGGGGTTTCCAGAACTCCAATTTCAGCCACGCTAAACGACGAGTCGTATTATGCGGCCTGCGTTCCACCTACAAAGCGCCACGACGCACAAGGGTACTCTCCAAAGAGACCATCCATGTCATACACGCCCTTAAGCTCGCGAGATCCCCAGATCACGTTCTCGACGCCAAACTCTCGCGCCTTCTCAAAGCTGACATCTTGAACCTGTTGGAGGAGTTCCAGAGGCAAAACCAGCTCCATTTGTCTCTCAGGGTTTTCCGCGTCGTTTGCCAGGAGCATCAACTGGGCCATGATACGCTGCTGCAGCTCTACGCCGACATCATACTGCTGCTCGGGAGAAACAATGAAACTCGAATGGCGGAGGAGGTGTTCTGTCAAGTGGTGGAGAAGGGGTTCAAACCGGACACGAGAATCTGCACCGAGATGATTGGGGTGTATTTGCAAGTTGGCATGACGGAGAAAGCCATGGAGATGTATGAATCCATGAAGGAATGGGGTTGTTCCCCTGATAAGTTTACATTCACCGTGTTAATCACAAATCTGCAAAAAACAGGACAACAAGACCTCGTGGAAAAACTCAAACAGGATTCTCTTCACTACCTCGAATCCCCCGATAAGTTCCTTCGACAACTCCAACAAAAAAAACCAGTAAGAATAAGATTATACTTCCTTTTTCATTCGCGTCAATTATGTTTGTTTTATTCTGTAACTGATTTTGTGTGTTTGTTCAGGCAAAAAAGAGACATGTTGATCTTGTATGAAATTTTCCAGCGTTTAGGACTGCTGCTTGTGCTAGTGCCACCATGTATCTGATATTGATTAGAATATGGGACAAAAGTGTACTGGTGCTGCCTCTTGTCTTGGCTTCTCGTCATGTTGCTAAACATTTGTTATTGTTATTCTTAACATATGTATTAGATAAATATGAACAATGCTGTTGAAATGATAATACCTATTGCATTGCATTATCAGACATGGCACATCTTACATCACATTGCCACAACCTGCTTGCAATTTCATATTCAAAGCTTACAAAAAAACACTTCCTCGTTTATTCCAATCGATTTTGTGGGTTTTCTTTTTCTATTTTCATATAAACCATTCCAATTATCTAAAGGCTAAAAACTTAATTTGATCTCTCGTAATAATTAAAAATTTCAATTTGGTCCTATTTTATATTTTGTTTTAATTTAGTCCCCAATAATTTAAAAACATATCAATGTGGGACTTTTGTCCAAATTTCACAAACAGCGTTAAATATGGACGACGTGGATGCCACGTAGATGTATAGGTGGCAAGGCTTCCTCCTCCTTCTTTAATGCACCTGGAACGTCCGGTTCTGAAATCAGAATGGCTCATTCTAGTTGCACTCGTCGTGCGTTAATTTTGCATCTAGAACAGCCCGTTCCAGATGCACAATTAACACACAACGAGTGCAAGCAGAACGACTCGTTCTAATTTCAGAACAGAACGACTCGTTCTAATTTCAGAACGGGTCGTTCCAGATATAAAATTAACACATGACATTCGTATGAGACCCTTGCCACGTGGAAAATTATCACATTTTTATTTTTTTTTCACGTGAAAAATGCTCAAACGGCGTTAACAAAATTTAGGCAAAAGTTCGATATTGCAATAATTTAAATTATTAAAGACTAAATTAAAACAAAAAATTAAAATAAGACTAAATTAAAATTTTAAAATATTATAAGGGACTAAATTAAGTTTTTAGTCTTATCTAAATAACATAGTTGAATTTGGAACACATAAATTCAACCAAGAAATGAGAAGCAATTATATCGCTTGCTGACATTACTAGAATATGTATTATACAAAAATTAATACAACAATAAAACTATATAAAAAAAAATCTCTTTCTCTATCTCTCTCCTGTTTATTTTTATCTCTCCTTTACAAGATATTGCGGCGCAAAATACATGTAAAAATTGGTTAAAAAAATTGTTCATCTCACCCTAAGGGGAAAAAAGTCGGATGGGAAGGAAAAAATCAGAAAACAGAGTGACTAAATAATGAAAATCGCAATTGCTTGCTCAGCTAACTAAATGGCTCGGAGGTCGTTGAACATGCTTTGCCACATAAATGCGCGGAAAGTACCGAGTCGATCTCCTGCTGGGTCCAGTTCTTAGTTGCAAGGTGTTGAAGTAATATAACCAACTGTTGGAAATCAAGCAACTGGAGCTTGTCTGACCACTGATAAAACAATGACAGATATCAGAAAATATTCATTCTCTACTATATAATCAATATCATTGCTAAAACAGATAATGTATAATTAATCTAAAGCGACTACACTGAAAATATAAAAGTGACAAAAAAACATTAAAAAAATCTAATAAACCATACTTAAATTGGACAGAGACAAGGAAAAACATAACTAGATTATATGTTTTGAAGTGGTGACAGAAATCAGATAATAGATTCAAGTGTAACTAGGATGCTGAAACTTTGCATTCTTCACAAGGAAAATTAATGCATATCAAAAGTGGGGTCTTTTAAGTTCATGCGACTATAGAGATACTTGAAGAAAAACATCAGGCCGAAGAAAAAGTTACCGTCAATCCTCCTGACCAATTCCTTCAATTTAAAAACAAGCGTTTGAGTTCCTGGTTGAGCAAATGTATAATGATCTTGCATAACATCAAGCAACTTTGACAAGCACCAATAGGAGTCAGCTACTACATTAGAGATTTCATCTGAAGATAAATCAAACATTAACCATTATCTATGCCTCCTTGTATCTCTATTCTCTTCATACACACTATAACTTTAATGCACTGTTTCACTGTCCTAGTACATCTATTTTCTCAGCTTGAAGCAAGATTCAAAAAGGAGAACCATAAAACATACTGAAAAGCGTAATCAACCTCCATGTACAGCAGTCACTGCATCATAAATTGGAATATGCACTCCAAGAGAAGTAGACGTATGCTACAATATTGTTATCCCCTACTACATAAGATGACGCTTCTATTGATTCCCAAGTAATATTTTCTAACTCTTTTAAAGATTTCATTTGATTGTTGATGAATTATATCATCAACTGCAAATATATGAAACTACTTATCTACCTCTACCCAACTCCATCCTGCAGATTTTCTTATTCTCCTTTGTCGCATAAGCCTTCTCATTTCAGCTACTTCATTCCATAAACCTTTTCTTGCATAGATATGTGCTAGTGTTAAATATGGTGCTGCGTTACATGGATCCTTCTTAATAAGTTGATCAGCAGCCTCCTTCCCAAGTTCTACATCTCCATAAATCTTGCAAGAATTCAAGAAAGAACTCCAAATTACATAATTTGGATCATAAGGCATTTCTTCCATCAAATCCCGCGCCTTACTTAAATTTCCGTTTCTAGCATAAAGATCAATCAAGCAAGCATATTGATCTATATTTGGAGACAAGCCATAATTTGTTGTCATTTTGTTGAAGTATTCCACCCCTTTGTCAAGAAATCCTGCATGATTACAAGCTGTTAAGACAGCAGTAAAGCTGATATGATCAGGAATTAACTCTTGCTTTATCAATAGACAATCAAAAAGTTCCAAAGCCTCTGAACCTCTCCCACATTGGGCGTAACCCATAATCATGGATGTCCACAACACATTATTCTTCTTAGTTGTTTGATCTAACACACATTGAGCCTCATCAATATCGCCACCCTTTGAATACATATCAATCAAAGCACTGGCCACAAACACATTCCTTTCTGAACCCATTTTAATAACAAGAGAATGCACTTGTCTTCCTTGAAGGAGCAATGCAAGGCTGCTGCAAGCATTTAAAATGGTACATAAAGTATGATCAGTAGGACTCAAATTTTTTCCCCTCATTTCAAGAAATAGCTTCAATGCATCTTCACTGTACAGATTTTTAGAATAACCAGAGATCATAGAATTGTATATAACAGTATCCTTCTCACTAGTTTCATCAAATAATAATATAGAGTCATCAATGTGTCCCCAATTTGCATAACAATCAATTAATGAGCTGACTACAAAATTGTTAGTATGATATCCCCGCTTGACAACATGAGCATGAAGAGTTGAAGAATGTTTATGGGCCCCACTTTGCCCCACGCAGGCACTAATGACACTAGCAAAGGTAAGACAATTGGGCTTAATTTGGGTGCTTAACATCTCTTTGAACAACAAGAAGGCATCTCTTCCTTGTCCATTTATTGAGAATCCAGTAATAAGTGAAGTCCATGACACATGATCATGTATTTTCATGCCACTAAATACCTTCCTTGCATCCACAATAGCAAAACATTTGGCATAGAAATCAACAAGTGCACTACTAAGGAACAAATTACCATCATATCCAGATCGAATCATGTAAGCATGGATTTGTATACCTACACGCCAATTCAGAGTTTTTGCACAAGAACTAAGTGCAGTGCAAAGGACATATTTTATTGGCTTCGCTATTGAGCCATTCATTCCGCTTAATGACTCTAGCGCTCCATAGGTACTGGCACATTTAAAATGTGTTCTACGGTAATCGTTTTTACATATTTTGCTAAAAATAATCTGCATCAAACCATAAACTTGAGATTATTGGCTTGCAAAATTACCTTGATGGCCACACATTTGAACAACTATATCTCAAAAATAGAATCGCAAAGCACAAGAGTCAGTCATGAATTGGACCATTGACTACTAAGGCAACATACACACAGATATGAGGCATATGGATAGAACAAAGGCAACAGCATAAGTGAATCCAAAACTTAAAAGCATTGCATTCCAAATTTTTAGCTTCGAAGCACTATGTGAAGCTTACCCAGTTTGCCCTCATCGTGAAACTCCAAAGGCGGCGGCTGTGGCCGGAAAATACGACGGAGGGGGGAAGCGGTGGAGGAGTACGGTTCTCTCGGTGTGATCGAGAGAGAGAGAGAGAGTGGTTTTTTGATATTTTGAAGAAACAGAGCAACGAAGGAAGCAGAAATAAAACACCCAAAACAAAAACCAATTAATTAATAAATTATCTGCTGCGCTTCGGAATACCCTGCTCCTGCGCTTTCTTCTTTCATTTTTTTATTCTTTACCCCTCTGGTGTCTTTTAAATTTATGTGCTAATTAAGAGTGTAATGAGTTCCGCTTCATGAATTATTCAAGCTTAACTTATTAAATGTTCGTCAAAATATTTTTGTTCAAGCTTTACAAGTTTGATAATAGATCGTTTATTTAAATTGATGAAAACAATTAATTGTTTTTATTTATTTATATATTATATTGAAAATATATAGAATTTTATTATAGTACTAAAATTAATTTTAAAATACCTTTTTATACTACTCAAAAAATTTATTTTTTGGATCATAAAAATAGAATTGTCTAAAATGTTTGAATTTTATGTACCACAAGTTGGGCACATATTTTAATTTGTAGATTATTGTATAGGATTAAAATAATTAAAATATTTATTAAATATAAAATTAATAAAGTTAACTAACATAGCTTAGTCCAAATGAGAAGAAGTTAAATACCTTGAACAAGGTTTTGTGTTTGAGTATTGAGTCTTGTTTTGTAGATGAAAGAAAAGTGACTTGGAAGATAGTTTTCACATATAATCAATTTCATCTCTAACAAAAATTAGTTATAATTATTTCACGATAATTACATAATGATTTTAATTGTTCTCACCTATGTTTTTTTTTTTCCTTCCTTTTTTCCCCATCAAAGCTCACAAGAAACACTTCCTCTTTTATCTTTGTATTCAAATCGGATTTTGGGTTTTCTTTTCTAATTTGATATAAAACCATTCCAATCATCCAAATCATAAACACAATTGAATTTGAAACCAATGAATCCAACCAAGAAATTGAAAGTAAATAACATCACTTTCTGACACTACTAGAATATATGTAAAATTAATACAACAAAAACAACTACTAAAAAAAAAGCCTCTCTCTCTCTCCTGTTTATTTTGATCTCTCCTTTACAAGATATTACAGCGCAAAATACAAGTAAAAATTGGTCAAAAAAATTTGTTCATCTCACACTAAGGGGAAAAAGTCCAAAGGGAAGTGAGGGAAAAACCAGAAAATAGTGACTAAATACAGAAAATCGCAATTGCTTGCTCATTTAGCTAAATGGCTGGGGGAGTTGTTGAACAAGCTGTGCCACATAAATGCACGAGAAAGTACCATCTCTAGCTCCTGGTGACTCCAGTTCTTAGTTGGAAGGTGTTGAAGGAACATTACCAACTCTTGGAAATCAAGCTTCTGGAGCTTGTCTGACCACTGATAAAAAGATAACAGAGTTTAGATACTATATAATCAATATTATTGCTAAACAGATTATATATATTTATTCTAAAGCGACTACACTGAAATTATAAAAGGTGACAAAAATAGAATGAATAAACAACCTAATAAACCATACTTAAATTCGACAGTTTGAAGTGCCATCAGAAATCAGAGAATAGATTCAAGTATAACTAGGATGCTAGAACTTTTGCATTAACCCTAAAGTAAAATTAATGCACACCACAGGGTAAGATGCTGCACAGAAACTTGCTGAAAGTTTCTGTAAATTTGGCATCCTAAATGGAATTAATTACCAATGTATTATTGAAAATGAATGGACAATAGGATTTTAGCACCGATACAACCTGCCTAAATGGAGAAATAAGAATCCAGCATAGAGCTTCTAAATAAGTATCTTAGTTATATAAGATGTCCACCGTAATCATTAATCAACAATCACAAAATTATGCAAGATTATACGGTATTCCAGAGCCATCGATAGCATGTCAGATTGTGGCACCAGGTTGCTAGTAAAGCATAAAAGCTTCGGTACAAGTGAAGATAACATAATATGATCACAACTGAGTTTCTTGGTGACTGTTAGAATGCAAAATCTTTATCTACTCTCCAAAAAGGCACTTTTAAGTTTCTAACAGCATAAAGTGGTCCAAAAGACGAGTCTTTTCTGGCTATAAAATTGAAAATCATAATTATCATTAACCACTGAAATGTACCAGAGGGGGAAAAAGAAGAATGGACAAATGGACCAAGAAATACTACACCTTGGAATCTTGGCTACAGGAGGAAATTTAATTCAAATAATTTATATTGGTTAAAAGGCCAAAGTAAGTTGGCTCACCGTTAGAAGAAAACTGGCAAATATATATACAAGGAAGTCTGGTAAGGCATCTCCTTCGGCTAGATACGTGTCCCAAAGACGCGTGACAAGATGGAAGGGTATCTAATTACATAAATCAGAAATCAGAAATCAGTCAACAAAAAATAAAATTATACCAAATTTTTTGTAGTCCATAATTTTCTCCAGTCAAATTTACAATTGAGCCTTGATTTTCGGTCCATCATATAAATTATACATGCAGTTCTTGGGAAGACTATTGCACTTAAAGGGAAAAAAATTCAGAGCAAACCTCACGGATTAGAAGACAGTTGAACCAGCGGAAAGCAAATTGAAGAAATTCCAGTCCTTGCTCCTCCATATGGCTTGAAACAGGTTCTGGTGAAACTCAATTTCAGTATCAGATTCATTTGGAGATATACAAATAATAATATACTACCTACATTTCAAAGTTGTTTTCGGGACCAAAATTTTCATTTCATTTGACACTTCAAGAAACCAATTAGTCATTAATCTTTTCATTTTTGTTTTTCAATTTTACCCTTATCTCCACCAAATGAAATAAGAGAGAGTTGTGACGGAGAGTAGGAGGATAATTTAGTCAAACGTAGTTATATTTTTCGATACTGAGGTTTGGTAAAATCAATACATATCCAAATACATAGTCAAAAGTGGGGTCTTTATGCAAATATAGAGATACTTGAAGAAAAACAACAGGCCTGAGAAAAATTACCGTCTATCCTTGTCACCAATTCCTTGAACTTAAAAACAAGCCTTTGAATTCCTGGTTGAGCAAAGGTATAATGATCTTGCATACCATCAAGCAACTTTGACAAGCACCAATAACAGTCAGCTTCTACATTAGAGATTTTATCTGAAGATAAATCAGACATCGACCAATTATCTATGCTCCCTTCTAAGTATTCTGACAGGAAAACAACTAAAAATGGCGTAACAAGATCATTTATCCCCTGAACATATCCACTTGCAGGATGTCGAATGGCCCTAAAAGAAGATCAAGAAATCAAATATAAGTAAAATAACTATTGATAATAACATGCAATTAGTAAGCAAAAACTAGTTCAATCTAATCGATAACTGCATGATGCACTTAAAATGGGAATGCTAGATAACAAAAGTTCCACTGTGGCTATATAATTTTTTTTCCTATTTTCTTTTCTCATGTTATTGCCCTAAACTGCTGTTAAGAAGAAACAAATTATACAAGATTATAGAAATCAGTCTCAGTATCTTCTGAATGTACAATAAATATAAATGAGGTAATTCACATCATCTTTCTGTTTTCTAATGCAGAAACCATTTCTAGAAGAGAATCTCCTCCCAGTCACCATCAAGATTATTATTTCATAAGATAAACGGAAACAAATCTGGGATCAGTCTGAAAATGAATGAATTTAATCCATCATGTAATACCACCGGTTTATTGGACTTGGCTTAACTATGAAGGATAATAATACTAAATGATACATAGCATGTGCTAATCTACAGCTATAGTGATAACTTCATCAGCTAACTATTGTAGGCCAGATTGAGCAGTGTATCCAAAAAACAAGTAGAAATCCTGCCTTCTAAGTTACTGTTTGGCCCAACTTCTTTTAGCCTTTAGGCCAAACGGAATTTTAGGAAAAGAAGCTTTTAAAAAGCTAGTTTTAGGAGCTTTTGACTTCTACTTCTTCTTTTTCTACTTTGTTTCAAATCCCAAGGTCCAAGAACACACCACCCAATAAATTTTAACTTAAAAAAATTATAGAATTAACAAACAATTTTAACTTCCAATTTAAAGCTCTTGTTTTTAACTTTAACTTTAAAGCAGCTTTTAAGCTCTTAAAAAGCCAAGTCAAAAAGTACCGATGTAGTGAAACTTTCTTAGCCAAGCTAAGAGCCTTATTTCGCCTCATAAAAAACAAGAACCTCAGAACACTAGGCTAAAATAAAATCAGACCCAAAAAACAAGATGCCAGTAATATCTAACCATGTGTAAAGAATACGCTCCAGTGATTTCTGAACTTGCTGTTGTTGAAAGAATGACACATCAGGTACAGTTCTTGGACAATCAACAGCAATCTAACAATCATAAAATGCAAATAGTAAAAATGAAGAACCTTGTTTTCTCTAATAATCAAGTTGTGCATATCTTATAATTGAGAATACCTGGCGAAGCATATTGATCTCATCATCTGAGCGTTCTGAATCAGGAATATCATAATACTGAGAAACACAGTCAAGATACTCAAGGCGCTTCCTACTCAAAACCCCCTCCCTTCTATCCGAGTTAGGTGGTGCGTAACCCTGTTGTCAGTTCATTATTAAATTTTCAAGAAGAAAAGAAAGTATCCATAGAAAATGTGTGGTTAACTTATTTACTTAAAAATAGATTATCTATAGGGTAAATGCTTCTCTTTTTTCTTATAAAACCATCTTCTGTGTAATGTGTGGTCTTATTCAAAAAATAAAAAAATTAAAAATTAAAAAAAATATATATATATATATATATATATATGTAAGCAGCATCAAGATCCCTATATAAGAATGTTCTGCATCCCACCCTCAATGAAATTTTTCTAAAAATTCAGATATCACCAAAATAAAACAAGAAAATACATATCATAATAAATTATTATCTGAAATCTAAATTTGATTGTTTCCGTGCTTATTAATACTTTTGACTGACATCTGTCATGCAAGTATGTGCTTGAGCAAGAGAAATGGCTGAAGATCAGAGCTTACCAAGAGAAGTCTCCACACTGTAGGACGCATATAATCTGGAACACCACTCCAGGATAATTCTCGCAATTTCTCTACAGGTTAGATATCGAAAAATATAAGGTCTACATTATCAGTTCACTGCAGAAAAATGGAACACTAAATGGATATTATTGATGCATATGTACTGCTTTGGAAGCAAAATGTCTGTGGCAATTCCCCCTTGAAACTTCTTCTCTATAGGCATAAAGTTATTAAAAGCAAGCAAGGTTTGCACTAACCAATGATATGCTCCATTTAGAAGACCCCCTAACTGTTTATCTCCTGATTTTTGTGTTATTTATAGATTAGATTGTGTTCAGAAAATGCTTCCCATTTGTCATTGCACTTCCCAGCTGTGTCCTATCTTGGAATACTCTAGTGTGGTGCGTGAAGGATGGGTCTGCCCCGAGGATATTCAGTCTTTCTTGTGCATTAATTGTAGACACCCTGGTACTAATAGAGATGCTAAAAGGCTTTGGTGATGTTCTAAGTTTGTGGTAGTTTGATGTATATGGTTGGAAAGAAATGCAGAATTTTCACTGGTCTAGTTCTACCTATGGATTTTCACTGTCTTTAAGGGGATGTCTTTGGCAGATTATAAGAGATTGGCATGCTGTCCTGCACGCATCACGCTCTTAATTTATGTTCTTTTTCTCTTTTGCTGTAATTTTTAGCTGTAAAGGATATCTTATCCTCATCCCTTTGAATTTCTCCGCTCTTCCTCAA